CGTAATGGTAGTTTTACAATAGAAAAATCAAAGCAGAACAGATGTCAAAAGAGCTGACATAGTTGTCACATATTCCTTTTTAGTTCAGCAAAATACGCAACACTGTTTAATAAACAGAACAAGTCTGTCTTTTGCACAGTGAATAATGATGTGCATTCTAACGAATGTACTACAACCCGGGATACTCTGGAATAATTTCTCATTGTAGTATCTCGGTGTTCATTTATTCGTACTTTAAGGGTTCTGCATGTTTTGCCAGGATAAATTCACAAGCAGTGTTCACAGTTTATTGAAAAAACAACATTGGATTGTTCAAGGTTGACAAATAAGTTCAATCACTTGCACACAATGGATTTCGGATGGTCTGGTACTTTATAAAGAATTGGAAAACCTTGTTTGTGAAGATGTTTAAGCATAGGAACGATACCAGGAAAGTACATGGCAGATGTTTATTTTCCATAAAGACCCTCTCAGGGAGCACAGTTTCTGCATATGTACTAAAAAAAATGTCAATCATCTTCAGAAAAACTATTAAGTGCCTCAGTAAACATATAACTCATTAAAACAGACAGCATTTGGCTATACGCAAAAAAGGCTCACCTGCTTGAGCATGGTGAATATCCGCTGACCGATCTCAGCTTCCGACGACGACGAAACGTTGATCAGCTTCAAGAAATCCTGAAGTGGAAATGCAAACATACATTCAGCAAATAGCGCTGCGAACATTTCGTAACTGCGCCTCCGGCATCAGATCGCGTCGACTGCGGCCTTTGGCTCGTTGCACTCCAAGCAGGTGGTCGCAGCACAGCAGATGAAGATTCGGCATGCTGTTGACGAAAGGCGTGCAGAATGGCGGATACCAAGGAAGCGGGTGCTCCTCGCCAATTTTCAGGTTCAGGTATGTCGTCAACAAAGCGGTGACGCTGAAAATTGTATATGACATAATAAAGTCGCAGTTTAGATGTTCAGCTAAATGAAAGTGAACACCATTTCGTCACAACCATGTTACTGGAAAATGAACGTTCCTCAAACGAACTTAAAGAATTCAGTTTACTGCCGTACCTTTGAACTTTTCCTTTGGATCCAATCAAATATATTTTTGTCTAGTGGTGATAAGATTCGCTGTTTGAAGCCAACCTAGTTCCCTGGAATTTCAGTTTCTTGTCTGTACAGTCAAATTACATAACATGAAAATGCATCTGCAATACAAGAGAAATCAGGAAATACAGTACCATGTACAACAATATATACAGTAATGCATTGGCATTACTGCATATGATATCGCATACAGGCAATTCTTAATCTGCATGAGAGATGCGTTCCTATAAATCAATTCACAGGGCAGATGTACGCAATATCGTATTATGGTGCCAAACCACAGAACTTGGGTCACGGAGTCTGTCGCGTTTTAGGCCATATTGCTCTGAACAATGGCCACCGTTGACAAGATCGAAGTACCAACAAACACGTCGCATTACTCCGAAACTATGCAAATGACATCAATCTGAAAAGAAGACTATCCATAGTACGCTCTCCTTAACTATGCTCTATATAGCTCTCGTACGTTGTATCTCATTCATAGATTCCACAGCGCTTCCATATGGCGCTTTGCGTCCGTTTCCTGCAGTACCTTATACAGAACTGTGTACAAATACAACATATACTATAAGCAATAAAACACGCCCACAACGTTGCTACACAGTAA